TTCTCCAGTCCATCACAGGGACACATACACAGGCAATTAACCATTTACATTAACAAGTTCTCCAGTCCATCACAGGGCCACATACACAGGCAAATAACCATTTACATTAACATTCTTCTTCCAAGGTAAATTTAAAGAAAAAAAATCACTAATCTGCATGTTTCTGTGGGAGAACAGAAAACTCTGGAAAAAAAGCACACGTGATGGAACAATCACATGCCATAAAGGGACTTGAACCAGTGACCACCCTGTAAGGCAAAAGCACCAACCACTATGTGGCCCCACATATTTTCTGATGAAAGAAACACACCAATTAATTGAAATAAAAATTAAAAAAGAGGTAAATGTTGTAACTTTAATTAGTGCTGATTCTGTTAGGTCAGCACAGGTAGACAAGTCTCCTTTAGTCTTTTATTTTACTTCATCGATCGTGTTGACAGCTGGAAGCTCAAGTTGGATAAAAGAAGCTAAAAATAAAGTACAACTCATGTAAACCTGTATTAGCTTGGTTGAACCAGTTTCTGTTAATCTAGGCACTACTGAAGCAGACAGAAAACCCTGACGGAAAAATCTGGCTGATTCTCCTTCATAGTAAATCTCATTTATTAGTAACGATTCTGACAGAATAAGCTGGTTTGTTCCATTTTTAGACAGGCCTTTTGAGCACTGGTGCTATGTTTGGGTCCTGCTGCTGCTCCAGTCAACATTCACAACTGTACTAACAAAGCTGCAAGTCATATACTAAAATAAAGCTTAGTCAGAAACAGAAACTCAACAAATCAGGCTCTCCAGTATTTTGGTGTTGGTGTTGTGAAAATGATGACATCCAGATATCAGGCATGGTTTTATATGATGTCATAGTTGGCAGGAACATCATGGGGCAGAGCACTGGAGAGGAATGTTTTAATAAATCACTGCATCTCATTCTGAGGGGGTGTTGATATCTCTGTCTCGTCTGGATATGTGTCTGCAGAAGCATCTGACTTAAAAATAAAAGTCACAGTCTGAGCTTCTCATTTTGGCCTGCAGTGAAGTCATCTGGTCAGAACTCGACTGCATGCTCAGGTCAAAAAGATGCAAGAGGTGTTGCACACTGCAAGAAAATCCATTTAGGCATAGTTGTAACTTGACCAAGCTCAGCTGTAAATACTAGCCCGTGCTCTCCTGGACCGAAGAAGCCCTGTGAAGTCAGCAACACACTTTTCTTCAACTCAACATGGCAATCGGGTGACACCGTACCCAGCAAAGCTCTGGCCTTTTCTATCCATGCCAGTGAAACAGCAGACCAAGGGAATGCACAGTTATTATTAACAGCAGCCTGTCACGGGCAAAATGACGCTGGTGCATAGCAGCAGACACGGGCCAAAGGGGACTAGAATAGCTGGGACATGCAGACGAGGCTAGGAGACAAACACTGGACTCGTCCGTGAAATGTCACAGTTGACATCAGCAGCACAGACAGACACGCAGACGGCGGCACACCTACGTCAACTACAGACGAGAGGGAAAGTGGAGCTTTGCAATTTTAACTCTGGCATCCAAATTGACCTATCACCTCCTCGTAGGCTGCAAGCCAGTCGGGCCATGGTCTAATTAAGACTTCAGCGGTGCCATTCAGACATTAAGAGATTTGAAAATAATCTTTTTTACATTTTCTGACCTTATCAGTCAGAAATAGTGGAGATTGGGTCTGTCAGATTTCAAATGTACTTGATGGGCATCCTTTCTGCAGAAAACGAGTCTCAAATACTTATAAATATTTGCAGTCCGTGTACAATCAACAACTTTTTCCAAAACATCAACAGTCATTAGTTTAACATGAATTAAAAAAAATAGTTTAAATGTATCACAAAAATGAAATAGTGAAATGAAACATCTAGATCTTTCAGTGTATCAATATTTTCTTACACCTCTAATAAATACTATCACCAAAAACCTTTGCACAAGGTGTCAATATTGCCTGTAGTAGTAACTGAGTGAAAGACAAAAAGGAGCACAAAAGAAGTACAGTTCTTTTTGCAGAATTACTTAGAAATGAATGGTTCAGTAATTAATAATGAATTAAGTCACTTTGGTTGCGCAGTCTTCATGAACCTACAAACCTGTTTTATTTAAACTGTTTAATATTGGATACACAATAACAATACATGTTTCTTCAGGGCGCCAAGTGCAATCTCATCTAAAACCCAATTTATAAAAATATAATGTAGATTTCCGTAGAAGCTGCCACAAAAATAGAGCTGTCACTTAGTAATGTTTAAAAATGTAAACTACTTCTAGTGACTGAAACCACTTGATAGTTGGCGTTGGGCCATGATAAATAGCTTCAATGGTTCAATGACGACGGTTCAATGATGATTACATGTGAAGAGATCTATTGTTGATGTGGTGCTCTCTACATTCAATGTTTAGTTGTCTTCAACCTATGTGCAGTGGAGATTGTTTCCTAAAAAACAAAAGTGAAATTGTATGTAGTTTGGTGTCTAATGCGCACAAACTACTAAACTGAAACTGCATAGATTTTTACATATTTGTGGCTTTTCAAAAACTGTGTTAATGCCTTGCTCCTGTCTGGAAGGCAGAAGACAGATCACTAGCTTATGAACACATTTTCCTGACCCGCCTTGCTCCTTGATCAGAATGTTACTCGTCTCAGTTGAGTTGATAAGTGCTACCTTAAAATGTTCTACAAACTAAATCATTCCCAAAGTCATTGACTAAATCTTCTTCTGATGAGGAAAGCCCACTTTGCAGTGGATAGCTGTGAAAACGCAGCAAGTCACAGTCTGTCAAAACCATAACAAACCTCTCTTGCGTCAAACTGTGACAGGCTTTCCCTCGAGGCTGATGTGTAACAAGTTGAGACAATGAAACCACAGCACGGCCCACCACCTGCTCTGAGTTTCACCTGATTCATCATCACACCGTCTCTACTGAGCCATGGACTAATGACGGCTGTTTTATTTATAAACACAATGTTGCTACATGGCTAATGTCAACATTGTCTGATTAAATCAGTTACAGCAAAGTCGTTACTGAGAGAAATATTGTAAAATGTAAACATTTTTCTTCAAATTTGTCCTAGATTTTTAAAATCGCGTTAAGTTTGCAATGGTTCGTCCAGAAGAAAATTAATGTACGAATCTGGTCTAAAACAATAGATACGTTGTGCAAGTAACTTCATTTAACTTTAGAGATCTTCTGACATATCAGGTGATTTCAGTAGTGGTACTTGTTTCAGCAGCATTAGCTAATTTTTAGGATGTGTTGTTTTTGGAGACTACATTTAAATACAAGTAATTTATGAAAACTTTCCAAAGATTATACCGACATCAGACTGAATGAAACAAAATTACACGTAAACAAACTATTCCAACTAAAACTGTAATTAATCTGATTAAACAGAATCTTAAGAAACTTAACTTGTGATGTAACTGTCTTATTGTAGCATATACAGTATCAAAAATAACTGTTATTTGTTACTGAATTACACCATACTGTGCAAACAACACACAAGTACAAATGCAGAAGAGAAAGTTAAGACTTTTTGCTTTTGAATCTCTAACTTGCTAACAGCAAACAACACTGTAAAAATAAAAACTGTCTATTTTTACCGTCTAAAAGGATGCATATACAGTATACACACCAAGAATAGCAGATTGTGACACACAGGATTTCCTTGATTTTGAAACCTTTATGTTTCTCTTCAATTTGAGTTTCAGACAGTATCCTGTAGTTATTTATTATTGCGTTAGCCATATTTTGGTAAGGGTTGTCTCTATCCCTCTTCACCTTGTGTGCTTGTGTATTGGAAAAAGGCAGTATTCCAAATATTTTACAGGCCATTGTAGCCTGTAAAGCTACAATGGCCACTCAACTTAACTCTGCATGTAAATAAACTAAATGAAAACTAAAAGTTAAATAGACATTGAGATCTTTATTGTGTAGCTGTTGCCTGGATGAGCCTCTTGCATTCACGCTAAACTGTGAAGCACACAGTACCATCCTACTGGACAAGGATACCAGTGACTTTATACTGCTTATGGCTGCTTAAAGCACAGATTCCTAATGATGACGTTTTATTATATTTACTCAGAAACAACATATGAGAAATTTAGTCATAACCAGGAGACACCAAGATGTACAAGAAAAAGGAGAGAGATGTAGTCAAAGGGGAACTGATTCAGGTCAGTCCTGCTGACCAAGGATATTTAAACAAAAATGTTTCCTGTAATTTGACTTTTGGAGTCCTGAGAGTGAATCTGCATTTCTTAGGAAAATTAAGCTATTCCTGGCATCATACTGTACATTACAGCTACAGTGGACAATGTTGAGTCTCCAGTCATTTCTGTAAACTGTTTATTTCCATATGTGAAATTACTGTCTACAACCTCATGGTTATGTTCAATATTTGATCTGGTCGCATTAGATTCAGAACTAGTACTGTAACTGTACAAACATGTACAAAGGTATTACCAGATAGCTGGCTGCTATTGTTACTGTTCTGAATGAGATCTGACAACAATTTGGTCACAACATCAGGGAATCCTTGCACCTTGCAAGTTTGAAAATTACCAAGGAGTTTTAAAAGGAGATGTTTTATTGTTAATATAATGGTGCCATAAATATATTTGGGTATTTCCTCAGCTTGGCAAGAGCCAGGATGCAAAAACGTTTTAGATTAATGTATTTAAAATGCTGCTGCTTGGCTCTGGCACTGGTAGTTTCTCTCAGTACGTTACCCTTACTTTTTACTATGTCTGTTCCTATGTTAAGTCTTATACTACGTGCATTTTTGTGACACATGTCGGTATTTCGTTTTTGTGCTTGACTTGCCTGATATCACATTGATGCAATAAACCATATACATTTGGTCGTAGTCTGACTTGACAACACGAAAAGAAACGTCTATCATGGCAAGAACTGCATCAACCTTCTAGTTTGTGTGTTTTAGACAGAGACTTTGTTTCTAGCAGAGTTTAAAAAAAAGGTTATGTTACCTTTCGTAAGGCTTGCACGAAGAGGCCTCTCCATTTGTGACTGTTCTCGTCACTGGAAAAGTCGTAGATCTGCTGCGGCTGCATCGCTGTAGCGGCTCCTGGCGTTGCCGTGATCCGGGCTCAACTGTCAGCATCGGCCCCGGCTACAGAGTCCTTGTGGGTGGGTCAGTCCGGGAAAGGGGAAAAATAAGTCAACCTTGCCGACTTTGAAAAAACTGAAGAGTGTCACAAAACTACTCGTGTGGTTCGGTCGTGTTGCACAGTGATAAATTCTCTACGATGTGAAACCGCACATGTAGATCCAAAGTTATGACGCTAGCTGCGAAGGCTAACGATGCTTACTGCTGTAAACACGGCAAAGCTGAAGGCTACACAGCTAACGGCTAACAACAACCCTGCTAAGTGTGGAAAAATGAACTTAGGCACAAAATAGGCACGTTTAGTTTCAAGCCCCGACATGAGATATTTGTTTGGTGACAGCTACCTGAAGCTACAGTTTATATTTAGATTTTTCCGTCCGAACACCTGTAACGTTAGCAGGCTAACTAGGCTTTTAGCCGCGAAGCTAACGGAGCAGCTACGTTCCCGTAGCTGCGGCCGTGGCCTCGACGTTTCTCCGACTTCTATGTAGTGGCACACGAACCCTTCAGCTCTGTACAAGGCACACTCTCTCCTGCGCCGCTAATGACAGAATTAAGCATCTTTTTCTGTGGCGGTCGGGCGCTAAATCCAGTATCCAGAAAGAGCGAGCGAGAGTCCGAGGCACATAAGTGAGAGGAGCAGCGCTGGAGGAGTCGAGGTGTTTTTGGTGAGTGAAGTCCAAGATGTTCGTACCAACAACTCCGTCTGCTCTCTGTGCGCGCGTGTGTCTGTGTGTGTGTGTGTGTGAGCGTGTGTGTGTCTGCTGACTGACTCTCAGTGTGTGTGTCTGCGGCCGCTCTCTCTGCGCCGCGACGCATCCACTCTCAGGCACGCCCCCTACCAGAGTTCACGTTTTACCGAGGAAAAATAACAACTTCAGAGAGACCATAAATATATAATTTTATAAATTTAAATATAATTAAAAAACTTAGCCTAGAAAACTGAGGTAAAAAGTAAAATTCAGAATAAGGTTAAGACTTTAGAATGAAAGCCTAAATTCAGGAAAAGGAAAGTGAACTACTACACTTTCCTTTTCCTTCATTCATACTTCGTCATTGTGACACAGCACATCACTGCACACAACCAGCTGGGACCTCTGCTTTTAACCCATCACCAAAGTGAACAGTGGGCAGCTTTAAGCTGCCCAGGGAGCAGTGTGTGGGGGCAATGCTCAGAGCCCCTCAGGGGTAACTTGGCAGCTGGTGGACTCAAACCTGAACCCTTCCGGACCCAAGTCCACTTCCTTCACCACTAAGCCACCACTGCCCAAATAACTTCTGGAGAGATTGAACACAACAAGCAAACTATCCTCACTAATTACCACCTTTCCCTCACTATCCTTAACCAAGCTGATCTGAGAAATGTCATTTCTAACCCTATCTCTGTTTAGCTGTGGTACAAATCTTTCTCTTCTTCTTTACTGTTCAACCTTTCTCTCTTCTAGCCTGACACTGTTCCCATCTACTTGACTCATCTTCCTGAGTATCCCTTTTTTAGCCACTCTCTACTTCTGAATGATGTGTTGTACACCTCAATTCCACCACCAACCTCCCCTGTCATATATACACTATATTGGCATCACACTTATTCTGAGGTACTAAGAGCTGTTCAAGATTTTCACGTGGGCCTTTCTTCAATTCCTACAAGTAAATGTATGTCAGGGTTGCATTCAACTAAACAGGCCAGTGACTAATACTAAGTAGGTAAAATTGTGAGTGAATTGAAATTAGAGACTAAATTGAAAGTCATTATTTTTCAAAACATTTTGTGACATTTGTTTGTTGGCGTGTTGTGAGACATTTTTTAAATATGTGCCATGGCTCAAAAGAGTTTGGGAACCACCGTACGAACGTGACATGGAAAATGACATTTTTGGTTGTAGTTTCTGCTGCAATATCGTCACCTGGTGGTCAAAGTGCCTCAATGAACCCATAAGGCTGACTATTTCATTTTCAGACGTTAATGCTTAGCTTGTTTATTATTTAAACACGTTTTTACAAAAAGGAAAATGAAAACAGTGCTATAAAAAGGCTGCACGATCAACAAACACATTCACTGACGGTAGGTTTTACTGCTCCCATTATCTCGTGATTTAGAAAATGTGAAACAAAAAAAATATATAAAAATATATAAAAATATATGATCATATCATAAGATCCAACTCTGTGTCTGAACCACTAACAAAAATCAATTAAAAAAATTCAGAAGGGATTCAATTATAAATGTATGATTTTTATGAACAAACTAAAGAAAAAAATGTTTTTTAAAAAACTTCTTGAAAATAACTGAAGGTCATATTTGACATTTAATGGCTTCCAACATACATTTGCTTTTCAAAAATATAGATATACATACAAAAAACACTTATTTGTCAATAAATGCACTGATTTGTCAGTGTAGAAGGCAACGTTCAAAGAGAGCTGAGAGTATTGGAACGTTTTTGACATTTAAAACCTAAAAATGGACTGTGGTGAAATTCACTGAGGTCCTTTCACACAAAAATAAAAGCAGTCCTTGTTTGTGTTACTCACATAAGTCTTAACTTGTATCTTAGATTTATTTTAAGGTCACATTACTTCTGGAAGACACAACTGAACAGAAGCAGAACAGCAGTAAAACACATGGTTCTTCATCAACCGTCTTTCCTTTCAAAATTAGACTAACAGTTACTCACTGTCCCAACTGATTTCATAATGTCAGTATGATTTTCTTTGGTAAAAAATATTACAGATGAGACCTGTCCAACAGTTTAAGCCTGAAGCTCAAAAACTTTCTTCTTAAAGTGGTTATTTCCAGAGAGTTCACATTAAAATACAGGATGATCATTATTCTGTACAAATTAACTGACAGCACTGTGAAAAAGACATGCTGATTTGTTCTATACATTTTGATGACATAATACAACTAGAAAATACACAAAATCATTTTACTTGACAAGCTAGGATCTCAAACTCAGATCTCCTGGTGGCTGACTGGTCTGGACAGTACAGTTATGAAGCACTGAAACATCACACCTACTGTTCTGACATGCTCACACTTCACGTTCAAGTCACAATTTCCCCAAAGAAGGCACTCAAAACAGACAGTACAATGCAACCTAGTGGCTATGAGTGAGAAGTGCAACACCCAAACAGTTGCAGGATTAGGCTGGAGGCAGGCTGCAGCAATCCTAATTTGTACCTACTATACCTGGATATGTAGTATGAAAGAGGCTGCATGAGGCCAATGGGTTGCTAGTTCAAAGACCTGTCTCTAAGACCAACTAAAGAGGTTCATGTACATTTTCTGTATTTTCTGGTTGTAAAAAAGACAGTATTGCGTTCCTATTGGCACAAATCTAAAGGGCGTCTAAGACTTTTTCACAGTACTGTAAATCAATTTGAAACCAATGAAGCAGCAGTAAAAAAAAACAAATCTCACTTCAAAATGTTATTGATATTAATTCATGAATTGGTGGTAAAACACTGTCCTTTCAGTCTTTTGAAATATGGGAGAAAAGACATTCTAAAAACCTGAGAAAACCATGGTTGAAAGCAAACCGTTATGAGATTACTGAGATTATCTTAGAGGCGTGCTGTGGATTAACCATAATATGAAACATGTTATTGCTGAGTGGTAACTGCTTAGTGATACACTGAAGGTTTTTGGTTTGTCCTTCTTCTCTCCACTGCCACTGGGCTTTCTCTACAGAGAGAAACGACTTTCCACCTCGTCTGCAATCATCTCAGCGATGGCAAGAGAGGAGGTCGCCGCCGGCGAGGGAGCGTTACGCACATGGAGCACGCGACTGCCCACGTCCCCAACCCCACCGTCGAAAACAAAGTCGTCTACGAGGTTTCCATTTCGATCAAGGGCCTGAGCTCGAACTCCTGAAGGGCCTCTGGAGAAAAACACAACCAGGGAGGCAACAAGAATGTTTAGTCAGCAGGGACTTATCTATCAACAAAGCTGTATTAATTAACAAATGAGGATTTGTTTTTACTAAACATTAACTTCCCGACTGTGTCAGATTTCAATTTGATGATGTTTTCTTTTTCAAATTGTAAAAAAAAAAAAAGTCAAACCAACGTATACTATCAGAGCGATATTATATCATATACAGTATTTAATTATCCTATCATTGCATTAAAGCATCCTAGCTGTTTATTAATGGTAGGGAAGACATCACTGTGTGGATGTGAACTGTTCAAGTCAATAAATATTCAGAAGGAAACACCCAGTCTTTACTTGAAGATTATTTTTACAGTGAAGTACAGAGACTAACAACAATCTTTTGTTGACTTTGCGCTGCTCTGCGGCTACAGCATCCGTGAGTAGAATTATTGAGATACTCATTAAATGTCTATGTGTTCACATGCCGAGCTAACAAAGCTAATGATGATGTAGAATAAACTCCTGGTCGTTGTTCTTGGAGTGAATGTCATAACAAATGACCCATACATTTTTACATCTGACAGTCTGAGGTGTTGTGTCACTGTGTCACTGCTGTACCTGACAACATCACTGGCTGTGATTTCAGGAATGTACTTCTGCAGGATTTTCACCTGTGCACTAATCACAATCCCTCGATACAGTTCACTCAGACCTTGTGTTAAGTTCCTCATCACCAGCTTTTGAAGACCTCTGCAGGAGAAAAAAGAACAAAATCAATTATGTATGAATCACCTTTGGGTCATATATTAAATATTTAGCCCCTGGAATTGATAAAACCTGAGTTTCACCTGAAAGAGAGAGCGTCCACAAAGTCTCTGGCATTAAAGTCGAAAAGTTTATAACCTTCTCGTTTGAAGGCTAGAACTGCATTGGGGCCGAGCCAAATACTGCCATCCATCCTGGGAGTGAAGTGAACTCCAAGAAAGGGGAACCGTGGGTCAGGAACCTGTGAGACAGGTAATGGTATATATAGTACAACTCAAATGTACATAGACATTGTGCTGCATGTACAGGTGATGTGTGAGTATTTATTAATAATAGTATCTCAATAATTCTACCTACTGATACTATAGCAAAAATATTGAATATTTATACATGTATTTGGTAAAATAGAAAACCGAGGGAGCGCTTCAACCATGAAAAGCATTGACAGTTCGTTGTACACAGACTTACAGGGTAGATGTTTCCTTTCACCAGGTAGTTCTTCTCTGGTTTTAACAACAGATAGTCTCCTCTAAACGGGACGATCCTCGGCTCCCGACTACATCCAGAAATTTGCGAGAGTCGATCAGAGTACAGACCGCCACAAGTCAGAACATAACGACATCTGACCTCGTCACCCTAGCAGAGGAGAGGGATGTAGAGCAATGAGAACAGAACTGACCCTGGAGCATTTGGAGCTCATTCAGACCTGGTATGAACAAGGAGACAGACAGTCAGTCAGACAGTCAGTCAGAAATCTGAAATCTGGGTGTGAGTGTTAGCTTGTTAGCCAATCAGATGACAGGTAGGTTCAGCGGTGGTGAGGTAATACCTGTACAGTCAGTCACAGGACCACATATGGAGACAAACAACCATTCACACTCACAATCACATTCACACCCACGGTTTCACACCAAACTAACCTAATCCTGTAGGTGTGTGGAAGGAAACATGCAGGAGAAAGACAACAACAACACTGCCACCACATTTTTGCGTGTATTTGAATACAATCATACTGAATGAATCAATGCATCTTTGAACAAGTGACACATCCAGTCTGGACGACAGTGGCTGTAGTCAGGATGTTAATACCAGGTCTGAATGGATCTGTTTGTGTGTGTGTGTGTGTCCTACCTTTTTGTCTTTGATTGCAATAGGATATTTCATTCCTGTTAACAGCATAAAGACACTGTGAAAACATAGTCTTTAAAATAGTCTGGATCTTTTTATTGAGGTTCATCTCTCACCTTCAGTGCTTCCTGCTGGACTTTCCTTGGCCATGGTGATGTCTTTCACCTCATATTCAGTCACCACTTTGCCTCCCGCCTCAGCGAAATCTTCTCCGTAGCTGAAGGCCACCATCCTCCAGTCCACAATGCCAGTGTAGGGTGAATCCAAGGCCATGATTCCCTGAAATGAAATGTTGTGACCACATTCACTCACACACACTGATACTACGTTCTTTTTCTTTTGAAGATTAGCAATACATCAGGACGTTTGCTGCGTCTCTTACTCTGCAGTACGGCTCTCGCTCTCTGATGGCCTTGGCGTCGACAATGCTAAGGTCTCGCACGTTGTTCTTCTGTCCACGTTCATACAGAGCCTTCAGTCGGGGTATCTCCTCCTGTTCTACAGCTACAATAAGCTGGCAGTGAAAAAATACAGTCATCATATGAAAATAAATAATAATGCTGTCATAAAAACTAATGTTTAGGTGACACATCATAATCTCTTGATAACAGAAACATCAGTTCAAATATACTCCTGCTGCATATCAGAAATAAGAAATAAAGAGTAATTTTTCAAATATACTTGGTTGACAGAGATTTCTGCCACACAGTGTTGAGAACATACTGATCAGTAATAAATGTGATGCATTTTCTCATGTTTTTAATATTTACTAATCATCCAATAAGTGCTTCACCTCTTACATAAAAGTGGAAAATTCCCAATTTTACTAAAATGCCAGCAGAAAAAAATGTAAGTTATTTATTTTTAATGTTGTGTTTCTATAGATCGCATCTATACATTGCATGTGCAGGAAGTGATGTAACTTGTGGGTGCGTCCTATGAGAACAGACGATGTAGTATGTGTGAAACGGCAGTGCAGACCTTTCCACATCTCCTGTAAGGCAGTCCCTTCTTGTCACAGTACTCGTAGCTAAGAGTAGCTCCTCGCACACACAGACGGGCCTTCAGTGACCCCGGCGTGTAGTAGATGCCGCTGTGAATGACTCCACTGTTGTGTCCACTCTGGTGTGCAGCTGTTATAGAACAGAAATGCAACGAGAAATAAACACAAAAACAGGTTTGACAGACGAACACAATCCAATAAATCAACATCACAGGTTTTCCTGAGGTTAACAGAGTGAGACAGTGACTTCAGGGGAGTGACATCACCATCGTGTTTGTGGAATTAAATATATCACTTTCACTTCACTACATTTAAAGTGGGAGTGAACTCCTTGTCATTGTGACTCAGCACACAACAAAATGTGACCTCTGCTTTTAACCCATCGCCAAAGTGAGCAGGGGGCAGTGTAAGAGAGGATGGTGACTCAGTGGAAACTTGGCAACTTGTGGACTCAAACCTCAAGCCTTCTGGACCCACGTCCGCTTTCTTAACCTCCAAGCCACCACTACCCAAAGGAGTTTAGACTTTCATAAGACACAGATATTTCCAATTTTTTCTTAAAATGTTCAAAAATGAAAAACTTTAAATTGACCACATGACTCACTTACAGTATGTTTTCACCAATATAATAATGTGATATACATTTTTCTATGCACCCAGAGGTCTTTTCAGTGTAGTATTTTCACCCCAGGAGTCACTGTGTCAGATAATATTCCTTCTAACTGACAGCAACTGTTATAAGCTCCACCTACCAAGTTCCTTTTCCTTCTCCAATAGGATGAAGCTGAGGTTGGGGTGTCTCAGGATAAGTTCTCTGGCTGTGGCCAAGCCCACAATTCCTCCACCGACAATGGCAACATCATACGTACTGAAAGATGAACGTAAGACCAGGTAAAAAACACAGACGGTTAAAGAGCAGACACTAAGCTGAAGTCATGGTAAAAAACACAGACGGTTAAAGAGCAACGCAGACTTGACACTAAGCTGAAGTCACAGGGTGTATGAGAATGTAGGTCAGCAGTTCACCAGTCGACTATACATGACTGTGTCAGCAACCTTTGGATACAGAGGCAGAAGTGTTCAAGGTGTGGAGCTGCATCTGTTTGACATACTGTACGTTCCACTGTCATGCCAATCCACTCGTCAAAACTTTTCTGCACAGATCATGACATCACTCTAGCAGATTTATCCACCACAGAGTTTTGGAGCTGAAGCAACATAACATTCAAGAGCAGAGCAGCAGAGCTGAGTAACTCTCATGAGAACAGCTGACATCTTGTTTTCATTTTGGAACATTAGAGCCAGGCTGAGTGGAACAAGGGCCATGGGGAGAAGATAAAAAATATCTCAGAAAGATCAGAGAGCTGTCCATCTGCAGAAGTGATCGGCATAAACTGGACTTCACATTTCTTCTGCCAGATTTCTTCCGGTCTGGTTTTAAAAGAAATTGTCTTGAGCTCTGCTGACCTATTTCTGTGCATTTTTGTGTCCCTGTTTTCTCACAACTGACCCGTGTTAACAGAGAATCTGCTTGTAATTATCACACTTCACACATTTAAACATTTAAGACTCAGTCAGTCAGTTTTCTAAAGTAAATTCTTAAGGATTTTTTTTACTTGGTTGGTACACGCAGCTTCTGGGAAAACAAAAGTTACTAAGGATAAAGCAGATTTAGCCGCTAGGTCTAAATAGCAAATTTTAGCAAAACTATAACTAAATTATGCACAGTGTTTAAAACATTTGTGAAGACATTTATGGCATGGAATAACAACAGACCAATCTAACAATAGTTTTCCTGTTTGTTGAGAATAGTTGAAAGTTAGCCAAATTCATTCAGTCGATAATAAGCCAGAACAGAGCCCAAACACACATCTATTTCATAAAAATGTGGTAAAGAAATAGCTGAAACAGTAGTTATATGTTTGTAGACCCAGAAATAGCGAAAGGTTAACCTAAAAAAATAAAAACAAAAATATTTGATATAAAAAAATTAAAGTCAACCCAGCAATTTACAACATTGCTGGGTCAAAATGTAGCTCTGCATACATAATGGTGTCTTTATTTGTCTGCAAGTCCATGTTAGGTTTGGCATGTTCATGTTTATACAGGGAGTATCTGAACCCTCTATGTATTTTCATTAGCTCTATATATTTAGGTTTTCCAGTTGTGTTCATCTTCATGTTTTTGTTGTTTCATTAGTGACCCTAGGTTGGGAGGGCTCTAGGTCAAAGGTCTTGGGGGGTAACTTACTGTATTAGGTAAGAGAGGGCTGCAAACATGAACCATATGTTTAGCTTCTCTATTACAAAAGGTGGGATATTGAGGATGTTTTAGTCATTGGATCCACATGGCCTCGAGTTCTCTCCAGACAGACCCTGGTGCCTGATTAGATTCTGTTCTTTCTTTGTAATAAACTCTTTTAAATACAACCAAGTCAGTGTCAGTGGACATTCCTTCATCCTTCATCTTCACATCATCACCAGTAAACATCAGCTTTTGTAAATGTTATGGAGCAGAAACACATAAACACACAGTAGGTCATGTATACAGTTCTTCATGGTTTGCAGGACTGTTATGTAACGTCCATGCCATGAGCCCACAGATCCTCAATGC